TGGTTTACATCCTTGCCTCGCATTGTGCAGTGAGGGCAAAGCGCAAGTGCAACTTGTGCTCATAGTTAACGAGAGCTGCGTATGTGTTGCTGCATCACATTAGAAGATTTTTATATATTTTTCTAAAGTATTTTTATAACTCTTTGTGCTTACAACTAGCAGCAATAATAGCAACCCTTATGCTTATTTTTATTTACACTGCCATCTGGGGGATTCAATACTTTAACCTTGATTGTGGCTTGTGCAGAGACTAGAATAAATGAAGAGCAATAAAAGCATGAGGTTTTGTGTGACAATATTGACGCGTTTTTAGATCTACTAAAAGACGCATGAAATTTCCCATGAAGGTCTGACAAGGGCTGTGTGTGTGCACAATATTTTAAACTGCTATCTGTGGAAAACCTATTTTTTCCCCTTTAATCATGTCCCCAATTTACTCTTATTGTGCTGTCAAAGTGGAACATACACCTGTGGGCTGCCTGTATCTGTGTCCTGGAGCAATATGCTGCCGTGTGCGTGGTACTACGCTTTTACACTGGGAACTTGATTTGTAGAGATCTGTAATTGTTTTATAAATAACAAAAACATATTTGTATAAATGAACTAACAGTGAGATGATTTTAAATTATGCCTAATAAAATGGTGCCTAAAACCAGCAAGCGTTCTTTGCTTTTGAATCCTCCTTCCTCTCTCTTCCTCGCCTATTGTCAAGTACAGCTAATTTTCCTCTTACTGATGACGAAGAGGAAATAATAGAGTAGGCTACTCCTGCTGAGGCGCAGAGTAAGGCTTAGTCACAGTGACGCACAGCTATCCACATTTTTAGCTCTTTAAACCACATTATGTTCCTATAGCACGCATATATGTTCACGTTATTTTTATGGTCTCAGTTACCGCATCTGAACACAAGATGGAAACAGTCTTGGGCCAAAGTGAAAGTATTACTGAGTAAAACTTTTTTTGTGTGATTTTATACACATTTTAAAGTAAATTTATATCTAATATTCACATTCACTCATATAGGGGAAAATACATAAATCCGGGGCTTAAAAAGTCAGCCTGCTGAAGCTTACATGGAAATGTTTCTTTGACCTTTTCGGGGTGGCGGCTCTGACAGATGACAGATGTGTTGAACTCAGGGCTCCTTACAACATTACCGTCGCGATACTGAGAACACATTTCCTCTTGCGGTCTGTCTCTGAAAGCTGCACAGCGAAAGGCAATGCTGACAGCATGTTTACAGCTTGTAACATTTGTGTCATTGTCTTGTTTGAGTGGGAAATGCATCATTTAGAGAAGTCGGTAAAGTATGAATTGTGGAAACATCCACTGCTTTACTGACCAGCATGGTAGCTGCAGTTCTCATCGACACACCTGAAACAGTTCCACCTTTCAACACGCATTAAAATGCTTTATTAAGATTTTATGACATAGATTAACACTTAATTATGAAGATGAAATAGCAACATTTTCAAAATCTTTTATGAGTAAAATCTGAAAAGTGTGGCGTGCCTGTATAATCGATCCCTTCTTACATTAAACTCCTAAATACCATTCCAGCAGTTAAACTGGGTGGTGACAGCATCATGCTATGGGAATGTTCTTCTTTGGCAGGGATAAGGTTGATGTGACGATGAACTGAGCTTAAAACAGGAAAATCCTGAAAGCAAACATGTCACAGGCCAGGGCCAGAGCTGAAAAACAATGGTTCAGATTGGGGTAAGAGTTCAATTCCCAGCAGGATAACAATTAAAAATACAACAGATCAAAGCATATTGGTGTATTAAAGTGGCTGGTCAAATTTAAAACCTAAATCCAACTGAGAACCTGTGGCAAGATGAAAAAAACAAACAGAAACATCTGTTCACAGACTCTCTCCATTAAGACGCTCTCTGTTTTGTGTTGGTTTTCAAAGTCCAATACAATATATTGAGGTTTGTGTTGTTAAAATTATAAAATGCTAAGATCTGACACTCAGTGCAATCAACAGCGGTAGACAGATTACAATAAGTTTGGCTAAGGCGTCTATTTTTAGACAGTGTCAAAGATTTTCTGCTTGAAAGCTCCCATACAAATATCTGTTTAAAAAAAAAAAAACAACTTTCTCTGCATATCTTCCTTTTTTGTGAAATTGTCAGACAAGTTATGCTTCATACTCGTTGTGCACGAGTCCCAGTGGAATAATTTTTCTAGTATTAAAAAGATCAGCAGTTCTCGTTAATTCCCACCTGTCACGTCAGTCGGACTTAAAGACCAAACCTTGACATTCCACGACGTAACCAAACGTTTGTACTGCTAAATAAGAAAGCAACATATAACATGGATGGAACATAACATCCCCTTCTCCATACAGGATGAGGCTTACGCTAGTTCCCTTCCTTACTGTGCTAACCACGCCGCTGTCATATGAGCAACAGAAACCAGAAACCACAAAGAACAGAGCCGTAGCTATGAGAAAGCTCGACTCACACTAGCTGTCTGAGTAAAAGCAGATTAACACATCACTGATAGTCAAACCGGAGCCAGCTGCAGGAGAGCTGTGTGCGATTACTATCTGTTGTTCTACCAATTGAATGTGCTGAGTAATAGCTGTCCGACTAGAAACACAAGTAGAAATCCTTGTGTTTCTACTTCAATAAATGGATGTGTGCTTCAGGGCAATGCTTTACAATCCTTTCTTTGGATGTTGTGGTGATGCTCACGAGTCAAATATCTGAAGATCTAGAACATACTTTTGGTCATTCAGATTGTGAGACAATATCCAACCAAAGGATGGCTCTGCGTGAGTGTCTGAATGGAATCGTCTATGAGGTTCTAACCCCCCAAAAAATCCACCAAAGAATAAAAAAAATGTTTGTTCCTGTGACCACCATAACTCAATGTCCCCTTGCTTTTAAAGGAAAATAAAGAGCTAGACTTGAAGGAGCAAAAACCCATCAACTTGTGACAATGGAAATGAATCACACTTGTTAAAAGTACTTTGAACTAACTTTCAAGTGATTGTCCTAAAAGCTCTGATTTCTGCAGATTCACACAATGACACTGTGTCAGTTCTTCGCTATTTGGCCGCAGCTTGACGTCAATCAGTACTCATAACTGGGATCACATTGATCATGAAATGTCTCACATAAGTAAGAATTTCTGTGTGTGTGCATAACTTATTTTAATTACTTGATATTGGCTTTAATAACAGTGCTGGGCAGATTGTCATCTGCGTGAGTCAACGACTCACTTGTGGCCTCGGTTTTGTCTCACTTCTCTCTGCCTTAAATCGGCTTTCAGATTCTCATGCGACATGCAAGCTTAATGTTTTTAATGATGTAGCATCAGGAGGCGAGGTCGTTTTTGTAGAGCAACGCCTCAGTTTTACAATGAATCATTAAAATATGTTTGTGTAAAATCCAAGGCTGCACAGCAGAACCCCAGAGGAGATTGTGAATAAGCGTAGAATGCAATTGTGTGAATAATTATGTATTAGAGTAAGCTTGGAGAATATTCCTCAACCTAGGTTTTCACCTTCACTTAACTCTAACTTTAAATCTTGTGGCCTTCGATGTACTCAAAGAAACAGAAACTCTTCTTCTTTTTCATTTTGATTTACAACTTCAGATTTTCATTTGAAGTTGTAATATCTACTTGACAGGAAAATAATAAATACACGATATGGCTTTATCTCTATGGCAATCGCTCTGCTTCTTTGAGCTTATATTGACACGTATAACATGTCTAATCCATTTTCATGTTCAGCTTCATGTACAGCATTACTCTTTAACCTAAAGCAGATGAAAATTAGGGCTCTGTCCATCTCAGTTCTGCTCTGTCCTGTTCTTCAGTCCTCCAAGTTTCTATGCAAATGAAACTTCACACGAATGATACTTTCTGTATAGTTCAAAAGAAAATTAGCCTGCGGGGAAGACGTGTCTCTCTCACAGATTCTCCAGCACCCAGGGACAAAATGTGCTTTTTGTCAGATGGGGAACAAAAACATAAAGTTCTTTGTTCTGCAGCTTTTGTTCCAAGAGAAGAGGGTCAAGCAGCACATGCAGGGCCTTCCTGCACAGCCAGAAGTCAGGCTGTGTCTCCCACTTGTTAAAAAAGAAAATCTTACAAGTAGTAGTCTCAGATTCATCCTGGGGAGCCTGTCTAAAAACCATGAAGAGGAAAAAGTCTTGCCAAGTTGGACTCTGGTTTGCTTGCAGAGCTGCATTAGTCCGTTACGACACATGCTGGTGCCAGAGACATGGTTTTGGTCCATGTTTCGATGACAACAGCACCATGCAGCTGCAGCAGATTTGTTGTCTGCATATCCATGAAAGAGCGATCCTTGTAGTCGCTCATTCAACTACAAGGTGCTATATTGTCTTTGGATCTGATGACTGTGGAAGCCATTGGAGTACAGTGAGCTCATTGTCATGTTTAAGAAAAATAGTTTTCTGTTATTTAAGCTCTGTGCATTATCCTTCTATAAGTAGTTGTCAGAATATGTTTACAGTATAGTTTACATAGTCACAAAGGAATGGTAAGCCAGGCTGTAGTGTTTTTGCAATGCTTAGTTAGGGGCCCAGAGTGTGGAAAGAACATTTTCTATGCACCATTTCACCGCCACTTGCCTGCATGGTTGATACAAGGCAGGATGAATTTTGTGTGTAAAAATTCCACACACAACAGCAGACTATTGGCAGCTTCAGAAATGTAAAAAAAAAAAAAAAATCTGTCTTTTTATAAGAAGCAGCATAATCACATAGAAAAACATTTAAATACAATCACGTTTAAAAGTCTTTTTAGTGTGTATGTATAACTGTGTTGTCAAGAGAAATATCATTTTCCGTAACAATTTATAGAAAGTCTTCGAGATTTTTGTTCTGAGATTTGGGAGCACACTAGTGTTAATCGGGCAGTATTTCTATTTAGAAAAGTGATTTCAACACATCTGGGTTGCGTTGTGAGGGACATTCTGGGATTAGGACACCACTTGCAAGCAGCTTCTTGCATTGCTTCCTGCTTGTTGCTAGTACATAATGTACAGCTCTAGTAATAAAGCTGAAATTATCAGCCGGGAAGGGTTCAGAGTCAACAGCTGGTAAGTCAAAGAAGTCTTTCTACATATTACTGTTGGTGACAATGTTTGTATTTTAGACTTGTTGGAGAAGAATAGCAGCTTGTGTTGTTGGGTCAGATATGGAGCTGTTTAAGCTTTTAAATGTGTTATTGATAAGTAAACAGTAAAACGTGTGATTTATAGTCAATTAGCTCTTCACAAAACAGTTCCATCCAATTACCTCCAGCATTCAAGCTTTTAAAAGATTGTATATTAAGTGTGCTAGTTTATTGATAATTTGTTATGTAAATATGTAGAGCTTTGATTGGTAAGTGCTGCTGCTTATTGTTTTTCATCATGCCTTTTTGTTGTTAGGCACTGCAGTCCCAGTCAGGAGAATGCAGACCGTAAAGTGTACGTTGGTGGGTGATGGGGATGTGGGTAAAACCTTTCTCCTCGTCGCTTACACGACCAGTGTTTTTAAGGAGAAATACCTCTCTGCACTGTTTGACAAGTACACTGGTAACATAAGTGTTGATGGGCAAGCGGTGACCCTCACTCTATGGGACACAGCAGGCCGCGAAGGATATGAAATGCTGCGTTCCCTCGCCTATGCTCATGCAGATGTTTTCATACTCTGCTTCTCTATTGGCTGCCCTTCCTCTTACGATAACATCAGGCTCAAGTGGAAACCCGAAGTGTCTCAGCAACGCCCCAAAGTGCCAATCCTGCTGCTGGGCACCAAGTCGGACCTGAGAGCTGATGAAGAAACGGTGAAGAAGTTAAAGGAGCAGGGTTTGGCGCCCACCACCCATCAGCAGGGGGACGTCCTGGCCAACCAGATCGGGGCCGTTAAGTACTTGGAGTGTTCTGCTCTGCAGCAGGAAAACATTAGGGAGGTGTTTGAGGAAGCTGCGAGGGTGGTGTTGTTTCCAGCCCCTAAAAAGAATTGTGAAAAGTGTGTGCTGCTGTGATAAATAGTTCCCAGATTTGGACAATGGAGAGGAATAATGAAGATCAACAGACGAGAATGCATGCAGAGGAACAAAGGAGGTTATCTGACGTCTTCCTCACTTGGCTTTCTCCTGTGTTACTCCTTTCTTTCTTATTCATCTCTTGTGGTGTAGCAAAGGACAAAAGAGCTCAACAGAGCACATGTCATGTATTAATTTGCTCTTGGCTTTGTTTTTAAATTGTTTTACATTTTCAGTCCTCAGAGTATGCGTTTTGCATTAATGTATTACTTTATAAATAAATTACAATAATATATATGTGAATTAGAAAGAAACAAAGAGACCATACTTTTCGACTTGTTCGGATTTTGTGAAATTACCCCAACACCTCAGTCTTTTATTGAGTTTTTTGTGAACACAGGGTAAAGTGGACAGATAATGATGCAAGTTTCTTTTCTCCCTCTCTCTTTTTAGAATGAGAAATCTAAAAGGCTCAGCAGGAAGTCTTTTGAGGCACATTTCTAAGAGATTTGCAAGAGAGACTAAAATTTTTTGTGCCCATTCTTGTCTGCAAAATATCTCAAGCTCAGTTGGATTGAATGGACAGTGAATTTCAATTCTTGCACAGGATTTGTAATCAAATTGAGGTCTGGACTTTAACTGCATCAGTCCCACACTCAAACATGCTTTGCTCTAAACCTTTCCTCTGTGTGGCATCGTTCATCTTTTTTACTCTCAATTCTTTTCCGGCCTCTGACAGGTTTTCTTCTGGGTTTTCTGTTTATTTAACATCATCCATTGTCCTGTCAACTCTGACCAGCTTCTCTCTTAAAGCTCAATGACGGGACAATGTCAGTACAACATAGTTACTACAATGTTAGTAATCCTACGTATGGAGTGTAAAGTTGGTAAAGTTGGTATTAGTGTACAAGGGCTGGATGAAAAAAGAATAAATAAACATATATACATATTTTAAATCCTTTTTATTTCACTTCACAGGTATGCACTGCTTTAGAAGTTTATCCCAAAATACCACTACTCTCTTTTTTGGTTTATTTTTGAAAGATGAGAAACTGTGAAAAGTTGAATGGATATGAATGCAAATACTGGAACAATGAAGTCACATGAAGGTGAAAGATGATACTGAGTCACATTGTTGATGTACGACAAAAAAAAAAATCCCCCAAGTAAAGTACTCTGAAGTTCTTTGGGAAATGTTTACGGTCTGGTGATTTTGTGATTCACAGTTGCATCATCTGAACACTAGATGGAAACATCCTGCTAGCACAGCCTCACAGGGTCCTGCACGAGAACCATTTTTCAAAGCCCCTTACATTTTTTTTTATACCTGCATACATTTAATGGTCGAGTCAATGGTCTATACCCTCCTAAGCGTCATTATTCAGCTAGGCAGACACCCGCAAGTGGAATCCATTTTGAGGCGCTTAAAAAGTCAGCATTCCCTTGCTTACTCAGAAATATTTCTCTGACCTTTATGGGTGGAGGCTTTGACAAACGACAGACGAGTTGAGCTCAGCCAAAGGCTCATTACAACATCACTAGCGAAATTCAGTCCTGCAGTCTTTCTCTAAATGAGGACAATGCTGACAGCATGTTTACAACTTATAGAGTGTGTCTGTGTTAGTGGGAAATAAATAGTTTTAGTGAACTCTGCCAAGATTTACTTGCAAAAACTTCAACTCTGGCCTGGCTGAACTAAATAGGACGAGAAAGGCTAATCCCTCTGCAGTGGGCCAAAGAAGGGCAGGTCACTCATTCTTAGGTCCATTAATGTGACCAGTTTTTAGTGAACTGGCTTTAAAATAAGCTGTTTGGTTTGCAGTCATTAGTTTCCCTCCAGAAAAGATGTTACAAAGCAGCGAAAGGTGAAAAACAGCAGTGGAGAAGAAGAGCAGCAATGGGAGCCAGAATGTAGTTGTATTTCTGATTATATCCTGCTGATGATCCAATATGATTTTAAGACATAGTTATAGCTTCAAGAGTTTTTAATAGCGAGGAGCCGAGAAACCAACAGAAATGAGAAACTCCTGTTTCTTTTACACTTAACCAAAATGCCTTTAGCAGTGATTTGGACTAAAATAGGAGACTGTAACCTTTACCATTCAAAGAGCCATTTATGCCTCAAGCCTCAAGAGTTACAGGACCTTTTCATAAAATACTTTTTTTTTTAAATTTTTTGATTTAAAAAAAATGTCAAATTTTCTATCTACTGAAGGAAATGTATTTTCAAAGAAAATTATTTATATTTTGGGTTTTAATATACAGAAAACACTTTCATTGGATGTTGATATTGGCATAGAAAAGCACATTGTTTTCAACCTAATGACAAGATAATTAGATATAAGAATGTCATTGGTACAATTAAATTATTCAAATAAAAAAATTGTAAATTTGCTAAGGGCTGTATTTGTTTCTATATCGATATTTAAAAGTATCAGTTGTTTTTATCTGTAGACAAAGTCATTAAGATCCAGAGCCGCAGGGCGCAGACCCCTGGACTAAACCAGAACAGAGCAAGATATATAAGCTGGTGACCCAGCAAGAAAAATATGAAAAGTAAAGTCTCAGTTACATATATAGGGAGATAATATTCATTGTGTTAGGTATTCTCTAACACAATGAAACAAAAAAAAAGTACCCAACATTTGTTTAAAAGGCATAAGTTCTGCAAAGCATTGCAGTTTCAGCAGCAGGTTGGAAATAAATGGTTTAACAATGTTTTGTGAAACATGACAATGCAATCGCCTGAAACCGGAGTTCTTCACGCCATATTCCAGAAATTCATATGTGATTTTTTTATTTTTTTTCCCAGAATGACAGGAGCTTTGAGGTTGGACATGACAGCCATGCAAATTAAAAGGAATTAGAGACACGCTTTCCAAATTAAGCCAAATCTATCGCAACCTTCACCTGCATTATCAGAGTTTAGTCATTCTGCCAAACTCTACCGCTTGAAAAATGCAACACGGACGGCACTCCGCTCTCACACACTAAACAGAATTCGTTTTCTGTTTACGGTGCGCTTCCGGTGATGTAAGTTTAGATGATTTCACACACAGTCGCATGCAGCCTCTGCCTTTGAATGTAAGAGCTGGAGGTGAAATTCATAGAAATGTGCAGCTGAGGGTAGGCTGGATAGCCTTTCTGTGAATCATCTGCGTGGAGCGCGTGGGAGTGATGGCCTCCGTTGGGACCTTGCTCTCAGCTCTTTCTCCCCTCTCCTTCTCTTTGCTCTTGCTGTGGGTTTGACGATGCTCCGGATAAAACGAGAAGACCCGGGCATCACTAGCCCAGCAGAGAAACTGCGAAAAGTCTTCTTCTTCGCCGTCTCCTTGACCGTGAGATGAAAAACCTCCAATCTAATAGACAGCCCGCAGCCAGTTAGGCTGAGAAAGCTGAAGTTCGGCATCCCAATCAAACTGTTCCAGCTCAGAGAGATGGAAAATAAGACTGTAAAGAAACACGGAGGGAAAAGAAGGCTGATGGCTGTGTTTGTAACAAATCAGGGCTTGAAGTGAAGGAGAAAGTGTTATCCAAGGGCAGCGATGAGAAGATAGTAAATAGGATGAAGGAAAGACTGGGAAGAAGAGGCCTGGGGGCTGGATTGAATTTATATTCTACCAAAGGGCGTAGGCTGAAGGACAGAAAGTCTGACACGGGAAAAAAACTGCCAGTCATTCAGGAATCATCCTTTTCCCACCGGGAAGCAACACTTTCTTGCAGCTAGAACATGGAGGGCTATTTTTATCCATGTGGTAAAACAATGAAAGATGGCTGCTAGTAAGAGGAAATTGTCAAAGTTCAGTCGAAGGCAATTACAATACCTAGATCACCAACAAATCAACAATCCATGATATCTGCATTTATACTGATGTGAAATTGAAGGAAAACATTGGGTCGTATTTACTTACGTAATTTCCTTGAATGAAGGCCGCCCTGTTCCTTTCCATTGATGTATATATTGACGCTATAAATAAATAATTATTCTGTTGGATAAATCTTATGAGTTTAAATGAGACATTTTCAGGAAATTTTATTTTTTACAATTGACAGTCTTCTTTGACTGAAGAGATGTCTGACTACACAAAACTTTTGACGTCAATACAACGATGCTGCAATTACTGTAATGTTAGGATGTTTTTAAATCACGCCTCCATTGTCTGAGTCTGCCGTTTTAGAAGCTGACTTTAATCAGGAGTGGAGACACACGAGTTTGCAGTCGTCTCTCTATCTCCCGGAAAAGTAATTTTATGTCGACTTGTGAAGGGAAAGAGTTTTATGTGTTTTTGTGGAAATTCTGAAACTTTTATGACAAATGGGAAATAAAAAAAACTCAAGGCTACCAGCTCACTGTGGTGATTGAATAAATGGTCCGATGTGCTGGGACTGGAGAGGGCAGGAGATGACAGAGCTGAGAGTAGCTGGGAGCTGACCTGTTGAAACAACTCCACCAAAGTCTTTTCCTGCTGATATTCGCCCCTTCGAGAAGACAATGAGTCATTTACAGCAGGAAGTGCACATGCATGCAGCATGTACATGCACAGTCAAGAGACCAAAGTGGCTTTTTCTGGACATCTCCAAAATAACATCCCTGCATTGAGGCAGACAGACCATCAGTGCTGGCAGCTTGCATCTTCAATTCAGATGACAAAGTGGCAAGACCACTGCAACACCTACATGCTGATGTTGTGCCGCATTTCTTAATGAATTTGCAAAGCAGTAATAGAATGAGAAGAGACTACGGTTACTGTTTGCTTAGCCGAGAAGTTTGAAACCAGGCAGACTGAACGGAGTCTTTGCTGACGTGACTCACATGTCTTAAATAAGTTGCTTCGCTTCTTCTGCATGAAGACATGTGACAGATGCTGTCCTCTGCTAAGAACTGCTTGTTCTTTCTTTGCTTTCTAGATGAGAACCGTGATATTGTTGTATAGTTAATTTGTGTTTATTTGTTTCTTGTGTTTAGCCATTCTTTGTCACAGTTAAATTTATGTTTCCTGATCACCTGCTTGCTCCCATTTTCCATCTCTCTCACTCCCTCAGCTTGCCTTTTATTTCCCCTCACATCTGCAACCTGTTAGTTGATTCATCCTTTGATCTAGTAATCACTCTCCAAGCGTTTAACCTCCTCTCCTTCATTCCTACCTACCTACATGCAACCTAGTACCTGTTAGTTTCCTGCTCCCTCTCCATGTAATCTCCTTGCTTTTGTGAGTAAAAATCACCCTTTACTTTCTGTTGCTACAGAAAGTAGCAATATTTGCTAAATGCTGAAATTGTGAGCAGGAGGATCTCTTTTCAAGCAATGCTTCTTTTAAATCCAGAATTTCAGGTACAGTAAGGATATTATGTCTTTGAACGATTTAGAAAAACTTGAGTAGTGATCTGACCTTGTGGATTTAAAGCTTGCTTGTAGTTGCTTTTTTTTATTATTACTTTTTTTGTGAATATCTTAATAAAAGACGGAACAATAAAAAATCAGGGAAGAAATCGGGAAGATAATTTTGAACCTCCACAAGTCTGGCTCCTCCTGCATAAAATTTCAAGATGTCTGAATTTGCTGTTTTTTTTGTTTAAGCAATTGAAAGTATAAACATTCATGTGGAGATACTTACTTGACCTTGTAAAAAATGCTGAATGTGTCATTATCCAAAGTGAAATTAGTCCTGTAAGACCTGGGCGTTTGCCGGTCCTCACACGGCAATTATTCCCACAGCTACAGAAAAGGTTAGATTGCAGTTAGCGATTGCAATCAGAGACAACAACTGTTGGTTTCGGAGACGTGTCTTGTTATCTGATGAAGCTACAATTGTTTCTCCAATTACGTATGGAGAAAATAGGGAGAAGCTTGCAGGTCTCAGAACATCATCAGAATAGACAGTGTCATGAAGATGAAGCACTATGTGCAAGTATTGAAGTAACCTCTAGAGACGTTAGGCAGGAGGCGAGAGCTTCGTCACAAAATGGTTTCCATCCACACAACGATTCTATGCATACTGTAAAATTAGTCAACGGGGATTAAGGGCAGCAAAGTCAATGTTTTGGAGATAGTTTGTGAGCAGAAGTGAAAAATTGGAATGCCTA